CCTCTCTGGTCATCATCTTTCTTGGGATGACAGTGTGTGACTCTCTTGACTGTGCACAGCAATCAGCAGCTGTGATTAAAAGGTTTAGACTTTCTTCCATAGTCAAATAACAGTGACCAGATATTTTATTTGAGCAATGGATCTTTAAATGAAGCAAAACCAATTAGGAGAGGTTGCTCATTAACCAGATGACATGCATTTCTGGCTTACTAGGTATGTAGCAGTTTTACACATTGTTATCTAGTGAGTCCAAACTTCAGATGCCTTCAGACTTCTCAAATCCATCTTGTACTTCCATATACTTCAAAACACAAAACACAGGACATTTATCATCTATTAAAATAAACTGCATGGTCCTTTTTTATCACTTTGCTTCTTCTTGAAATGGAGTCACTGTTTAACCGTTTATCATCCTGTGGTTTGTGAATTTCAGCCTTAGGCAAAGAAGGCTTGAAAGTTGTTGGGAGAACAGTATAGCATCCTTAAGGCCAGTTGTGTTATCCATTGTCTTCTAGTCATGTACTTGGCTGTTTTTATCTTTCTGCCCGCTTCCTTATCTTCTTAGCTTCCTTTTAACCTAGAGCAATGAATTCTTTGAAGTATTATCCAGCGTACAGATTGATCAGGCTATAGAAAATGTACCTATTCGTATTTGAATCCTGTTGGATTATTACAGTTTCCCTTACAGCTCAAGGACTGCAGTGTGGTTTTATGTTATTTGCTTAAAATCACCTGCAAGTCGATTATGACCTTTTGTGTTCAGTTTAAGAGTATAGTTTTAGATATTATTTCTAGCAGTATGTTTGTTCACATGCAAGGAGTTGTAGTGTTGGGTCACCAACTCCCATTTTGATCAATGCTTGGTGTCAGGGCAGTGCTCCCAAGTGGAGTAGCACAAGAGTCATGCAAGGTAAAACTGCTCAGTGGTGCAGAAGACAACCCTGTTCAATCAACAAAGCTGCAAGCTCATAATCACATTCTGATTACACTGACAAAACAGTGTGTTCTCTTCTCCCCCACCATCCTCCCAAAAATCCACACTGATAACTTACAAAACTCTGACTAATAGGCTGCCTGCTACTATAGTAGGATAGAAAACCCAATATTAAGAACTCCCATTCAGCTTCCAAGCATGTGCATTCTTCTCAAAATTAAATATGCATCTCTTTTTAAGGATCAGTTTAAGGTTAGATCATGACAAGTCAGTGATGATGCTCAACTTGTTAGCAGTTTCCCTCTCTTTTCTCTCATCTTTCAGAACTTTATTTTCAGAAGCTGAAAGACCTAAGAACTGAACGTGGGAAAGAAGTGAATGTGACATGATTTCTAGCAGTTTATATAGTTTATTTGTCAATACTAAAATGCTCATCTAGAAAAACTATGAATCATGAATGAAAAATAGAAGAAAAAAAAATGCAACCTGTTTCTTTTACCCTGATCTTAAACAAAACCTGAAGTTTGGGGATTAACTAGAGGTTACTTACCACTATTTTTTTTCTTACAACAGTAGTCCGGTTAAAGCACCTGCCCTGTGCTGATGATATAAAAACATGCTGCAGGACAGAATCTTTTTTTGCAATCTGATACATGTCCCTTTTGTAAAGTGTCTATTGGATTTATGTTGATGCAAACAAGAGCTCTCTGACTTTAAAGCACAAAGAATTTTACTACCTTTGCAATAGCCATAGCACTTCCAAGCTTTAAGCAGAACAATTCAAACTACTTGAAGTTCTTTTTCAGCTGTTCTTCGAATTAAGTGAACAGCAATATTAATCCAGCACTTCCGAGACTGCTGGTGCAGCACTTTGTCAGCTTCCTCAGACATACTCACAGCAACCCCACTGATGAAATCCTGGAATTGCTTTAACAGCAGAGCGCAGTGCAACTGAAGATGTCTTGGAAAAGAGTCATATTTTTTCATTTCTAAACAGTTAGTTTCCAGACTGGGATTCTGTTCCAGTGGAGTGGTCTTTTGGGATCATTGATGCACTGCAGGGAGTGCTACAGGGAAAAAACATACTCAGCAACTGAAAATAAGGTGAAACCTTTTCCAAATAAATTCAGCACATCTAAGACAGAAAGTTCCTAGATTCAATTCCTAAAGCAAGATTTTTGGTGCAAACATAATTCTGTGTTTCTGAGTGTAATTCTCTTTCCATACAAACATGGGGCCAGACCTCAGATCTCTTACTCATACAAAGAACTCCTCAGATACATAATTCAAAAACCACTTATGGCTGTACTTACATAAGTAAGAACTATTCAGGGTTTTGTTTAGTATTAAGAAAAATTTCAGAACTTAAAGACTAGAATGTTAATTTACAGTTTTGCTTTGTTAGTATTTTAATGTGTGCTTTCATGAAAAGCAAGCAAAATTAGTATTGACTACAATATCTTAAAACTTCAGTTTTCATTAATGTTTCAGTGCCAAGATAAAGGAAAATCAGGCTTCTTGTTATTTATTGTCTTAGTTCAGCCGTGTGGCATGTAATAAGCAAACAAAAGAGCAGGTCTTAACCCTCCACAACTTGTAAGCTGAAGAGTACACAGAGAAAACCAAGCAGCTGGGAAATCCCCAGAGAGAGGAAAATGTTGAGAAAGGGCTTGACAGCAACTTAATTCATAGCATAAAATCTTGGTTATTTGGATTCGGTGGGAGAGTTGAGAAGCAAGTTTTTGATGGATTTGGCTTGTTTGGTTAGTCGATGTACAGAAGCAAACTATAAAATTAAAACAAGAGGATTTATGGGATGTTCTTCTTGGGTGCCAATTTTTGAGAATGAATAGAGGATTTTTGACACATAGGGCCACCTCTGTGGGTCAAGACCTGAAACCTGTACAGAAGTGTGTCCATTTTATTGTATGTTCTTTGCCCTATTTTTAATTTTTTCATCTTGACCTCTTTGTGTTTCTCTGTTTCTAATCAGGTATCTAAGCGGCTGTACAGTATGGGCTGTTATGAAATCTCTCTGGGGGACACAATTGGTGTGGGGACTCCTGGAAGCATGAAGAGAATGTTGGAAGCTGTTATGAAAGAAATTCCTCTGAGTGCTCTTGCTGTTCACTGTCATGACACATATGGCCAGGCGTTAGCCAATATCCTCACAGCCATACAGGTAACTCAGGTTCTCATTTTATAGATATAATAGCAGTAGTCTTAGTTTAATTCAATTGCACAATTAAAAAAAATCCAGCCTTAGAAAAATCAATGTAAAAACAAATTTTCAGAAAGTATTGCTCACACATTGCATTGTCTACAGGCATTACTGCTGTTGCTTTTGCAAGAAAATTTCAATTCTTATGTACTTATTACCATCAATTCCATACAAAGTCACCAAGAAGCAGTGGTGATTATTATATGCCATTCATTTTTGATGAATGAGGGAGATAAAATATATTTTTTTCCTGATGTCTCAAATTCTGCTTTTCTTAGGAACATCTGTGTGTTCATTGTTTACTAAACTGAATTTTCTATTTTACAGAAGTATCTAAATATAAAATAGAATAATACATAATCACATATTGATTTCAGATGGATAAATCTAAATTAGTGGTGATTATGTACACAGAGTGGCCTAGGTAATTTTATCACTGTTAACATGCATTTAGTATGCTTTGTTTACCAGTTATACCTTCCAAATAAGATTAGCAACAACTTTATATCCTATTTAATCTTCTTTCAAATCTGTGGCTAAATGATCAAATATAGTTAATTTCCATAAAAGATATTTTTCCTTTGTGTTTATATACTTTTAAGAATAAGATATGATTCAAGAAACAGACTACAATTTTAATGTAGTTTTTGTAAAGATAAAATCGTGAAAAATATCTTAATGTTTACATGCATTCCTAAGGACACCTATTGTTACTAGAATAAAAAACTGTTTACAAATCTTTCATGGGCCTTTATTGTTCTATTTTCTACTTAATGGCATCTTCTGCTTTCTTGCAATTCAGGCAGCCACTTATAAGGTCAACTTTCCTTTGTCATGACTTGTTATTTTGACAGAGCTCATATTATGTTGTCTAGAAATAACAGCAGTGTGTTAACAGTATTAGTGATACAAGCAAGAAGAAGGAACAAGGAATTGTGTCAGTACGAGAATTCCTGCAGGTATTTGATTAAATACTCAATGACAAAATCTGTTAAAAAAGGTTCTGACTTTTACTCACAGTGTTCGCTGTTGACCTTTACTCACTTTTACTGTTGCACATGTGTGTATATGTACCATGGGATAAATAAACTGCTAATTTCACAGCTTCAGTTGCAAGTGTAATCACAGAATCACAGAATGTTAGGGTTTGGAAGGGACCTCAAAAGATCATCTAGTCCAATCCCCCTGCCGGAGCAGAAACACCTAGATGAGGTTACACAGGAAGGCGTCCAGGCGGGTTTTGAATGTCTCCAGAGAAGGAGAAAAAGCATGAAAACCTCTGAGCATGGAAGGAGTTCACCATAAAAATGCTTGAAGTTTTTTTCAAATCCTTCCTTAAAATAATCGCTGTCATGGTGCCTACTAAACACTGAACAATAGCTATGCTTTGTTAACCCCAGTATTTGTTGTAAGTGATTCTTGTTTTGGGTTTACCTTCTGCTCCTTTCTTTTTATGTACTCTTAAATCAGCTGTGTAAGAGTTAAAGGGGAGTAAAGCTCTTAGGTACCTAATGCGCAATTCAGGGTAATTAACATGTAAAATCATCACCCCCCAAAATTCCCAATGCAGCCTTCTTAGATTTCTGGGAAGCCAGGGGTGCCTGAGACCCACCAGAAAACATCCCTATGTCCTCGAGTTCTGCTACAGTGGTTGTCTAAAGGTGTGGTGATTTTGGCTGAGCTGAACTTGTCACAAATTTTGCCAAAAGTCTTTGATAAAGCAGGCATTACACAGTCTCTCCGACTGGCTTTGTGCAAGTAGCTCCTTGGCTTGCTCTAAAGGTAGGTCCCACATCACAGCATACTCTCCTGTCTCTGGTCAAAGAAACAAAGTAGCTAACAGTGCATTATAGCTAAACAATACTATTTCTAAAACAGGGCAACTTTTACAGGTCAGACAGGTGGTAAAGTGCAAAAGCCAGTGGATCGGGGTCCCCAGGTCACTTCTAACCCCTGCTGTCAGGCTTGCCTGTGCTTTCTACTCTGCCAAGGAAACATGAATGGCAAAGTACTGGAGTAAAAACCCTTGTCTTCAGCTCAGTGGTTCATTTCATAGACCAGACTCTCCACAGATGCAATTCCTTACCCTTCCTCCTTTATGGATCTGCGCAACTGACATAATATTTCATCAGGAGTGAAAGGTGTTTGAGGAGTTATAGAAATAGTGGACTCCAGTTAATGTTTGAAAACAATTTTAAAGAATGTTCAGAAGGCAAATAGCACTCTTCCTAAGACATTGCAGGCTGCAACCTCAGGGTGAGTTCTATTGTATTGTGTATTTTATTTCCTAAGAATTAATGAATGACAGCTGGAAAGCCACAAATCACTCTACACTAATTCAGGCATTGCTTCAATGGGAGATCTCTTAGGAGTGGAAAGAGGTGCTGGTGATTCACTAAGTGATTTTTTATACAGATCACATTGTTCCATTCAGGATTATACTACCCAGAATATTTTCTTTTGTTTGGGGCTGATCCAAAGTCATCTAGAACTGACAGGCTGTATCTGTATAAGAAATTAGCAGGGAAGTAGTCTTGTAATTTTAGTATTCAGTTTTATGTGTGTTGTTTTAGCAAAATGATAGGTAGTGAAAGATGGGAGAGAGATTAGCCAACTTTTAAAGGATAAGTAATTTTTTAAGTTGTTGGAGGGAATAATATAGAAAGCATTGCCTAGAGAAAGGAAATTAACTGTCTTTTATGAAGAGAATCTGTGTAAAAATGTAAGGAACATGAAGTGATGCTTCAGAACAAAACAGTAAACATTTAAAATAGAACCATAACCGGTTCTTGGTTAAATGGTTTAATATTAAAAAATCAAGAGTATACAGTTTACCAAAGAGGCAAATTCAGAAGATGGGAGTGATGTGGCGATCTAGTTAGAGGTTGTGGTATTTTGAGTAAAATTACATATGTGGGCTAGCTAATGTGACAAACACAGAATGTAGCTAAAAGCAGTAAAACATTTATAGGAAATTGTTACAGACCTACAAAGAAGGGGAAAAAGATGGGTCAGGAAACTTCTGTGCTGGAGAGGCCCCAGTAAGGGAGACCATTGATTTGAGAAGTTTTGAGTTACCTTGAGATTTGACCCCTATAGTGTGTACAGAACAGGTAAGAAAGGGGAAGGTTTTAATGGAAGTGGTACAGAACTCTTTTCTTGCATAGCTTGTGAAGTTGCCAAAAATAGCTTTGTCTGTTTTCATAGCACATATCCAAGCATGAGAAAGAATATGTGAAGAAGCAAAGAGGAGTTTTGGCCGGAGTGATACCACAATGAATAAAACAGTTGCATGGTAATCCCACAGAACTTTATCAAATTCCAATTGCTACTGTAATTCATGAATATAAACTGATCCCTACACTACTGAGATAAAATCTGAACTTACATACAAAATTCTAATGACTTACAGGGAGCAAGGATTTTTACCACCTTCTGTAATCATGTCCACCTTCTTGGACACAATGAGATGAATGAGATTGATGATCTGCCAAATGAAATTACTTTTTAGTATGTTTTCTTTTGACAGTAGACAAGATTTTTGAAATAAATCTGCACTTTAGTACCAGAAACAGAATTTAGCAAGCCTCTAATTAAACTTTCAAGGTTCAGACTGTAAAATACAAATTTGTGAATACAGGTTTTCATTACAAATATATCTCCTTACAGAGAGTTTAAAATATATAATAATATTTTGTTAATGTCTTTAACATCCTTGAATTTTAAAGATTAAATAAACTTTATTTTTTAAAAATCAAAATGGAAATGGCTGGCTGCTAACCTCTTCCCTTCATAGAATCATAGAATCTTTTAGGTTGTTAAAGACCTTTAAGGTCATCGAGTCCAACCATAAACCTAGTGCTGCCAAGTCCACCACTAAACCATATCCCTAAGCACCATATCTACCTATCTTTTAAATACCTCCAGGGATGGTGACTCCACCACTTCTCTGAGTAGCCTTTTCCAATGCTTGACAACCTTTTAATTGAAGAAATTTTTCCTAATATGCTATCTAAACCTCCCCTGGTGCAACTTGAGGTGATTTCCTCTTGTCCTATTGCTTGTAAAGTAAAGGGAGTAAAGACTGATACCCATCTTGCTACAACCTCTTTCCAGGTAGTTGTAGAGGGCAATAAAGTCTCCCCTGAGCCTCCTTTTCTCCAGGCTGAACAACCTCAGTTCCCTCAGCCACTCCTCATAAGACTTGTGCTCCAGACCCCTCACCAGCTTCGTTGCCTTTCTTTAGGCATGCTCAGGAACTCAATGTCTTTCTTGTAGTGAGGGGCCCAAAACCGAACACGGTATTCAAGGTATGGCCTCACCAGTGCTGAGTAGAGAGGAAGGATCACTCCTCTAGTCCTGCTGGCCACACTATTTCTGATACAAGGCAGGATGTTAAGGATACAAGTATCACTTAAGTAGATTCTAGCCCCTTCACTGTATGCTGGAGAGACTGACCTACTTGCATATTTGGCTCCAGTTTACTTGTGTAGTAAGGACTAGATTCACACAAGGGCAATCAATGTTCATGTGACTAAGTTTTAGGTGCCAGAACCAGGAGAGGAATCTGAACATAGATGCTGCAGTTCACAGTATATTAATTCACAAGGATCATTGTGTTACAGAAAGAGAGTTCACAACAGCCAGCAAGCTGGAAAAGGTAGGACCTAAGTGCAGATTATTTTCATGTAGTGCAGATTAAAAAGTTATTTTTGAAATTGTAGTTTAGAAACTGAATAGATTTTAAGTTTGGTGGAGAATGTAATTTTGAGGTTAAAAAAGCTAAGGTAGATGAGTGGGAAGTGGTCAAAATACATACATGCCAAATCAAATTATCTGAGTTCTGTAACACTCCATTCCTTTCACCCACTCAGCTTGGCACTCTGAGGACTTTATGCAGTACATTGTGAGAGTGGGAAAGACTTGCCGTATGAAGCATGCACATATTTTGGGTTCTTGAA